GTGCTGGTGGATAAACATCGTTCGGTTTTTACGGTCACGTTGAATCGACCGGCCGAGTAAGTACTTTACCTCCCCTAAGTCTGACATGGAGATACGCTTTTTCAGGGCTGATTTCAGCTCACTGACGTGTGCTGGTGTAGGCGCAATGATCAGTAAGTCGTCGACGTACACTGCAATGTAACAGGTGATGTCGGCAACTGTGCGTCGAAATACGCATCGATCTATAATGAGTTTTAGGAACCCAAGATTCTCTAGGAAGGCAGACAAGGTTTGGTACCATACCCGAGGCGCTTGTTTAAGTCCATATAAGCTCTTTAGAAATTTACACACTAGGTGCTCCTTGCCCGGGATTTTGAAACCTTCCGGTTGAGCCATGTAGATCTCCTCTTCCAAGTAGCCATTAAGGAATGCTGTCTTAACATCCATTTGATGGACTTGAAAGTCAAGAAGAGCTGCAATGGTGAGAAGTAGCCTGAGTACCTCCATCCTGATTACAGGAGAGAAAATCTTGTTGTAGTCGATGCCATATTCCTGAAGGAATCCTTTGATCACAAGACGCGCTTTGAAGCGGCCAATTTTGCCAGTGCCGGTATGCTTCACTACAAAGACCCACCGTCTACCTAAAATCTTCCTTCCTTTAGGAGGGGATACCAACACCCAAGTGTTATTGTCCATGAGGGATTTGTATTCCGATTTTGCTGCTTTATGCCACTGGTTAGCGTGGGAAGACTTCATTGCTTCCCGATACGTAGTGGGCTCTGACACATACCGAATAGCTAGTAAGGTGCACAGTAAATGTTGACGTTGCTCCTGTTCATGGATATCTTTCTCAGAGTTGAGGGTTACGCCATCGATTTCCGCAGAGTTATCACTGGCCTCCGCAGAGAGGCGGGGTCGCTTAGGAGCTGATTGGTGCGGAGGATCAGAGTCCGTCTCCGTTCTAAAAGAATAATGTATGGCTGTTCATTCAATAGCCTCCCTCAGTGAGGGCAGTACACGCTTGTTCGCTGTGGCAGGTGCTGTTGTTACTGCAGGTCCTGATATGGGTGACGGTGCCGTCACTGGTTCAGACACATATTCCGCTGTAGTAGTTGCAGGTGGCAAAACGCAGGTGCAGGTGGAGCGACAGTTTGCTGCCGATTCGTGTCCTGTGTGGGCTCTGGAGGAGTCGTCAGGCCAGTGAGAGAGGGAAATTCGTCCTCTTTAAAAACTACATCACGACTATAGATAATTGCGTGAGTGTCGATGTCCATCAAGCAGTATCCTTTATTATGGTCCGACACACCAAGATACATACACAAACGGGCTCTAGCGTCGAGCTTGTCTCGGTATTGCTCCGTGATGTGGACATACCCACTACACCCGAATACTTTGATGTACTGCATGGATGGAATACGGTTGTGCCAAAGCTCGTACGGGGTTCGACCATCCGTCTTGGAGCTAGGAGTCATATTGATGAGAGTAATCACGTGACAAACACACTCGGCCCATAACTGCTTGGGTAGCTTGCCATCCAGTAGAAGGGCTCGGACACGCTCTATGATGGTACGCATGCGACGTTCTGCAACTCCATTTTGTTGAGGGGTGTAAGCATTGATAAACTGAGCGTGAGCTCCATACTTTTTAAATATAATGCGGTCAAGATGTTCGTACTCTTTAGCATTGTCTGCTTGAAGCCGCTGAATCTCAAAACGCCCCTCGTGTGTATTGTCTTCAACGTTGAACGTGTATTCAATGACAGATATATCCTGTCTGAAAATATTCAGGGCTTTCTTTCTGAAATCCTCGTAGCAGTCATACAACTCGCTCCGGTTATTAATTGCGTAAGTGAGCATAAATCGAGAAAAGTCATCGATGAAGATCAAGAAGTAACGGCAACCAGTAAGGCTAGGTACAGGTAGTGGACCACATATATCTGAATGAACGTTTGACAAAGGGAATGCGGCACGTTTAACAGCTTTATTAGAGTAAAATGGGGGCGGTGTGACTTCGCTAACGTGCAAGCAACATAGAAGAAATCTGTCTTTGGACCTAGAGATATAGATCCATCGAGTCCATGTATGGCTTGGCTCCTAGACAGATCTTTCAAGACACGAACGTTAAGGTGTTCAAGTCGTTTATGTATGAGCAGAAAAAAACGTTGCTTACCTAAGGCAATAAGAGCCGCTGCGGGTGCCGTTGCTTTGGCTTGGAGCTGATACAGATCCGTGTTAGTAGCCATAAGCGCCTTGATCTTGAAGCGCTGGTCAGTTTGCATAGCGCACTGTTTGCGGTCAAAGCTGAAGCGAAAATCGTGCTTCACAGCTGCTGGAATTGAAAGCAAACTGAATTGGAGCTGGGGAGCATTCAAGACGCCATGGAGAATAACCGTCTGCACAGTGCCCTTGGAGTCCGTGACTACCAGATCGACCCGTCCAATACCTTCGATGGGGATTCGGTTATTACCACCGACTTTTATTGAGCCACCACTTGAGGCGATGTTGGTGAACCACTGGGATTCATGAGTGACGTGGCGAGTGCAGCCAGAGTCGATCCTCCAAGTGGGGTCAGGTTCTACCTTGGCTTGAGCGGTGAGGCTAAACGTGGGATTGACTGTGATAGCAACGGCTATGAGACCAGTATCACGACGTCCTTGGCGAGTCACCTTGCGGTTATTACAAGAATCATTTTCGTCGTCATCTCCCTCGTCGTTGTCTGACTCAAGAGGTCGGTCCTTGTAGCGATCTTGGCCGCGTTGCTTACCGCCATTTCCATGGTTGTTCTTGCTACTACCGTTGTTGCCCTTAAAGTCGCTGTTGTTATTATTCTTGTCGTGCCGTCTATTCCCGTCTTTGCTCGAGTTCTGGTACGGGTGATCACGCTTCGAGTTACCCTTGAAGGCAAAGTTGGCAGGAAGCACAGTCCCAGCCTTTACTCGCCCATCACGTAAATCTTTCTGCAGGCCCCGACATTGACGAATGTTGTGGCGTGGGCGATCACAGTACGAGCAGACATTAGCGTTGTCACGGCCTTGAGCATGTGACGCCGGAGGTTCGGTAGACACTAGTGCTCTCTCACCCTTGGTAGCAGAGGTCTCTGGTAACCAACGTGTAGCGCGCTTGGGCTTGTAGATCGCGGACCTTGCCTACAGTACTCTGCTTAAGCTCTTCATACGGGATATACTTCCGCTGACCTTTCCAGATACGGAGATCATCTTTCCAAGACTTGGGCATCGAGTGTAACAGGTGGATAGACTTCTGGACCTCCGTCATCACCGATTCGATGGCTTCTGACGCGGCTTTCATCGCGTTTTCAAGCTTGAGAAAGAGCTCGGTCAAGGCAGAGCCTTCCTCATACTTGATCTCCATCACATAGTGTTGAATGAAGTACGGATCACCATGAAAGGCTGCTCCCTCGTACTTCTGGCAGATGTAGCTGAATATCTCGTAGGAAGTCGTGTGATTCTTGACCAGCCGCACGTGCATATTGTCCATTGTTTTCATCAAGAAGGCCTTGGTCTTGGCTTCTTGGCGACGGCATTCACGTTGACTAATAGACTGAAGCTTTTCTTTCTTGACGCGTTTGCGGGCACAGCGAGCTCCGCGCTGGTTAAACTAACGAACTACCGGGAGGTCTTTCCGCTTGAATGAAGTATCGGAGCTAGCTCCAGAGTCTTCGTCCGAGTGCAAGGGCGGCTTGAGCTCGTCGTCGCTCTCGTCGTAGTCAACAGCACCGGAGTCGATTTCGACGTTCTTGGTAACTTTGCTATGCGACTCAACGTAGTCGTTAGACATATCGCTGCTGCTGTCTTCACTCTCATCTTCAGACACACCGTCGTAATCAGGCTGCTTCACGTAGCCGAGTAGGTGCTTGCCATCTAGTGCTGCGCACACACGGGTCTTCTAGACTTCGAAGTTCTCGGCGTCTATTAGGCGTGGGAAGTCGTCGCTTGAGGCTTGGCTTTAGCTCATATCTTTTGGCTCGGTAGGCAGGTAGATAGCAAGGAGAGAAGAAGAAGCTTTAGTTAGAGACGTCGAAAGACGAAGTGAGTGTATTTGAGAGAGAAGCTAGCTCCAGTTCATGACTGGCCTAGGGAGTGTGAGCCTATAGTATGGCTCACTCTATAGCATACTCTACTCTATTGTAACAGCTTACGAAGGGTTTGAGCTGACTGGATCTCAGCTCTTGGGTATACCGTACCATTGTTAAAGAGGCGACTTCAACAAAATGCAGCATTTTCAGTACCGGTACTACACCAGATCTAGGCCAATTTTTTTGGGGGGCACAGTAAATAAAATAGGGATTCCTTAGAAAAGGTAATCTAAAATTGAAATTTTATTGGCCTAGCTGAGATTATTTCCCCCCCCCCCCAAAAAAAAAAAAACTCGGAAGGGAGCTCTCATAAATATCACACTATCAAGACAAATGTTTGACAATCTCTTAGCGCTTACTTAAGTACTTAAGAATGAAATTCAGTAAAATTGCTATTGTAGAAATTCGTAAATCATATCGTGCAATGCTCCAGCAAGTTTGATGTAAACCACGAGCATACGGAAGTACCGGTGCTGTTATTTATCAATTGAAGTCTGCGTCCGGGTTTCGAATCTGGCCATGCTTTAGCTCAGCTTATCCATGGGTAGCTACCAGTGATTTCCTGGACAAGAATGCATGTATTATCATTGTCGGGACAATGCTGTGATAATGAGCTCTAACACGAAAGAGGTCGCGGTCTGCCGCGGCGCCGCCGTCATGAATCCATGTGGGGTTCTTGTCTGCCTTTGTGAATCATTCACCACCTGCATGCTCCTGAGATCTAATTCATTTTCAGCCTCATCAACTGCCAAATATCAAGTTAAAACCATACAAACCACCTCCCTGTCATCGTTTATGACCACAGGTTTCTGCACGGTATCCGCCAAAAGCCAAGGCAAGGGCAAGGCCACCACACACGTTCTGGACGTGGCAATGCACTCACAATCCAAGATCCCCTCGACGAAGCAGAGCTCTGGATCGTTATTGCCATGTCGGACAAGCAGAAGACCGCTTTGATCGCCGCCGCCGCCGTCACGGGCGTGACCGCCGGCTCGTACCTGCTGCGTGTGGCCATGCGTCCCGTACTGCGTGCTCGCGCCGCCACCTTCTTCAAGGGCATGCTGGCGGACGCCGACATCATCATCGACCGCGACATCCGCGTGTACGATGAAGACATCTTCCTCGACTGGGTACACCGTGGTATGCTAGCCATCGGTGAGTCCTACATGGCCAAAAAGTGGGATGCCATCATCCCGCTGGACGAGCTGCTCACACGCCTGCTGTCGCTGCCCGCCGACAAGCGTCGCAAGATCCTCAAGGCTTGGAACGCCAAGTTCATTGCTCTAGGCGGCAAAATCTTTAACTACCAGTCGCCTTCGCGCGCTGGTATCGTCGGTGCTCACCACTATGACCTGGGTAACGACTTCTTCAAGCTGTGGCTTGACCCGTACATGCAGTACTCGTGCGCCTACTGGAAGGGCATTGAAGACAAGCACGACTTGGATGCAGCGCAGCGCAACAAGCTGCACTTGATTGCTAAGAAGCTTAAGTTAGAGCCTGGTATGCGAGTGCTTGAGATCGGATGCGGCTGGGGCGGCCTCGGCTGCTTCCTTGCCAAGGAGTACGGCGTCCACGTCACGGGCATCACCATCTCCAACGAGCAGCTCAAGGGCGCTCGCGAGTGGGCCGAGCGTGAGGGCGTCAGCGACCTTACCAGCTTCGAATACTGCGACTACCGTAAGATGCACGGTCAGTTCGATCGTGTCGTGTCTATTGCCATGATTGAGGCTGTGGGCTACAAAAACCTGGGCGAGTACTACGACGTTATCAAGCGTTGTCTGAAGAACAAGGGCCTCGCTTTGGTGCACGGCATCGCTGCCAACCGCTCCATTGAGGTGCCGATCCAGCTCTGGATCCTCAAGTACATCTTCCCTAACGGCTTCCTGCCGTCCGTAGCGCAGATGATCACCTCGTCGGAACGCAAACTGATCGTAGAGGACGTCCACAACCTGGGCCCAGACTACGACAAGACACTAATGTGCTGGTATGAGCGCTTCCAAGACCACCTCAAGAAGGGCAACATTGACCGCCCGGAGGTGTTCTGCCGCATGTGGGACTTCTACCTGCAATACTGCGCCGCCGGCTTCCGCGCCCGTACCATTCAGCTCGTACAGATCGTCTTCTCGAAGAAGCGCCCGGACCGCTATGACGCCGTAAGATAAACGTATTATACCGGCTCATCAAAGCTATGAAGATTCTCGTTTTGCTATGGGCAGCGAAACGTAGAATGTAAGGCATGACGTGGCAACGCGTAGGGTACAAGCGATTGACTGTAGATACCTAGGTAGGCAAACTCTGACGATAATCAAGAGGAAGTCTACATCTTTGTCAACTTGAGAGAAATGACGCTCCCCGCGTCTGCCACTTATTAAAACGAGGCGTCAGATTATCGGAGATCTGTCATTCACCAAACCTCCCCCGCGATGGAGAAGCCTACACGTAATCCGACGGCGCTCAGCATCTACCGGCCGGGACTATTCAACGGCAAAGTGGTGGGTGCGCAAGGCTTCATCTAAGCGGGAGGCGACATTAAACCGCATGAATGCGTCGTTGCTAGGCTATTGTAACAGGCGGTGGCACTGGAATCGGAAAGAGTATCGCGTATGAGCTGGCGTTCCTCGGCTGCACCGTCGTGATCGCGTCGCGGTTGGTTAAAACACTCTGCTACTGCCAACGCAAAGATGCTGACAGTGACGCTTGTGTGCAGGAACCTTGAGCGGCTAAAAGCTGCAGCCGATAAAATCCAAGCAGACGTGAAGGCTGCCAACCCAGCGTCTGTGGGGTCGGTGTACCCCATTGCATGCAACATCCGCAACGAAGAAGAAGTCTCGAACATGGTTGACGAGACTGTTGAACGATTCAAGCATGTGGACTTCCTTGTGAACAATGGTACGCTTAGAGTGCACACTGAACTCAATGATGAGCATGACTAACGTGCCGTGTCCTGGTAGCTGGTGGCCAATTTCGGTCGCTTCTTGAGGACTTGTCGACTAACGGATGGAAGGCTGTCATGGACACCACCCTGTAAGTAATTTATTGCGGTCTACATACTCTGGCTCGAGTCTAACTACACACTTCAGGAATGGTACTTTTCTCGTGACGAAGAAGGTGTACCTACATGAAGGAGCACGGTGGCAGCATCGTCAACATCATCATCGTCTTGGACAAGGGCAATCCGTGCTTGGCACACAGTGCTGCCGCTCGTGCAGGCATTGAAAGTCTGTCCAAGTCGCTATCGGTGGAATGGGCTTCGTCCGGCATCACTCTCAACTGCGTTGCTCCGGTATGTGTTGCAAGAGATCCTACTCGCTGTTATGGTTAGCTAACGCTCTGCTACCGGCAGGGTATCATCCTCTCAAGTTGTGTGGAGAACTACCCTAGCGGAGCTGAGATGCTCGTATATGCGGCCGAAAAGGCCACTGCAGCAAAGAGAATGGGCAGCGTTGAAGAGGTCTCCGCTAGCGTGCTCTACTATTTGTCTCCTGCTGGCGCCTACGTGACCGGCGACACCATGCATGTGGACGGGGGCTGGCATCTTATGGGTCCGCTTCTCGACGTACCAGAGCACGAAAACAACCGCTCGTACGGCACCTGCAAGCTGTAGGTAATGACGACAGTGTGCGCCGTGCAGTAATGTCACCAGCTTGTTTATGGACAGATTACGAAGTGAGCGCCGTATACAAGCAACTTCAACTTGCCAATTCAAAACTGAATTGAAAACGACGTTAAATCAAATCATTTTTGAATCGAATGTTGAAGCAAAAACGTTGACATCGACATAGTTTTTTCATCATTTAGGACTTGCCAAAACCGAAATCGCAATGATCCGTGCTCCCAACGCCTCAAGCATCTACCGCCCCGACCTCTTCCGAGGCAAAGTGGTGCGTTGTAGCCTCGCTGATTTCATTTTGCTACTTGTTATCCGTATAGCTCTGCAATTTTTAGGCCATCGTGACTGGTGGTGGAACTGGAATTGGGCGATGCATCGCTCACGAGTTAGCGTCGCTCGGCTGCTCGGTGGTGATTGCAGCTAGGAACGAGGAACGTCTACATGCTGCAGAGGAGACGATACGCAGCCAGGTGGACGCTGCTGGCCGCGATCTGAAGGACATCATCCATCCTGTCGTATGCGATATCCGCAAGGAGGAGCAAGTGAACAACTTGATCGATGAGACGCTGGTCAAGTACAAGCGCGTTGACTTCCTCATTAACAATGGTACGTGCTGTACGTTTGCTGTAATTAAGTAAGTGTACTAACTCGATTGCCACTTTCTAGCTGGTGGGCAATTCCGTGCTCCAATTGAAAAAGTGAACCTCAAGGGATGGGAAGCCATCATGCGCACGAACTTGTACGTCTAGTAGTTTATCTGCGCTGAAATATTATATTAATGACGGTTTGTAACAGGAATGGAACCTTTATGGTGACCAAGAAGGCGTACCACGCGTACATGAAGGAGCACGGCGGCAGGATTGTCAACATCATTCTCGTGATTGACAAAGGGTATCCTATGATGGCGCACAGTGGTGCCGCTCGTGCTGCTATTGAGAACCTGAGCAAGTCGCTGTCGGTGGAATGGGCCGCGTCTGGCATCACGCTGAACTGCGTTGCTCCGGGTATTATCCTGTCGAGTGGTGTGGACAACTACGAGGGCGGTGCGGAGCAGTTCCATGTCGCTGCCAGAGGCGCCACTGCAGCGAAACGCGTGGGTAGCGTCGAGGAAGTCTCGGCTGGTGTGTTGTACTACTTGTCGCCTGCTGGAGCCTATGTGACCGGAGACACGATGCACGTCGACGGTGGCTGGCACCTTCTCGGTCCTCTGCTCGACATTCCTGCTCACGAGAACAACCCTCCGTACGGCACTGTGGGATCCAAGTTGTAACTCTCAAATTTCAAAATCAACAAAGATTTTTGTGTTAAGTTGAAGCGTGTTTTTAACTTGTTGGCAGCTGTTATACCCTTTTTTCTTCGGACCTACCATTCCTGTCGTTCACCTCGAAGTTGCTGTTGACGACGTTCTTGTTCCAGTGCATCACGCACAACGACCTTGCCCACTACGTAGACACCACTGGCCACCATACCGTAGATCGCGAATAAATACGAAGCCACCACACTCGCAGCGCCGATGAATCCCAGCACCACGAAGGCCGTCGCACTGAGAGGATCAGGTTGGTACGAGAACACCATGTTGACGAGCGAGAAGAAAAAGTAGAATAGTGCACCCAGTAGTCCCGTCGTGAAGTTCATGACAGCCACGAACACCCAGTTGAGGACCATGCTCAGCATATCTTCATCTCGCGCTGACAGCACACGCATGATCATGTGGTAAAAGGTTTGCTGCTGGGCGAAGATCTTGCCCTTCTCAAACGCGCTCCAGAATCTAGAACGGAGATCAGCCAGACCGAAATCTGACCAGAGTCCCACAAAAGATCGAGCCTTTTTCATCTTGTCTTCACGTTCTTGCTCTGTTCTCGCCACTTCGGCCGCCCATTTGTCAGCGACAGGCTGACGTTGATCCACCATCGTCTTGTAGGGTTCTCGGAAGCGCCAGAACCAGACTTTGGCCTCGTCAGCGTGGGATTGAGCTTCCGTATATTTTGCATACGCTTCATGATACTCTGGCATGTTGGCAGCCTCCAGGACCATACCCTCGTACGTGGACTTCATCTCCGGAGTGACAGTGCGCAGACCAGGGGCTAGTAGCATGAAAAATAGACCAACAGCCCATAGGACGAGTCCCATGCGGACCTTGGGGGACTTGAGGGCATGACCAGCAACAGCTTTGACCAATACGACACCTGGATCTCCTTCGTTGCCGTAACGAGCACGTTGAACGGCATCGGAATCTGATGGATCGGAAGACAAGTTATATCTAGTGTCAGAGAATGGTAGAGAGGTGGGAGATAGGCGACATGGAGAGGAAGCGATGGTGAAGCAGATGCAATAGTGGAGAGAGGTACGTACCCGCCGCGTTGGCGCTGGGGTGACCGGGACGACGGCGCATCTTGAGTCTCAGTTCTTAGGAGACTTTAGAAATGACAATTATTATGAAGTTTTGTATTTTGTAGGCTATCTTAAAAAACAATTTCTAGAAGGTGGTGTAGCCATGTTCTATTTTGGTCGTCACTCCTCCTCTTCTGAATCATTAATTGCATGGGGACCCGAAAAGGATGAACAAACACAAGTACAAACACCCTGATACATCGACCGAATTCAGCGATGCTTTAAGCCGCGAGAAGCTTACGACCAAAGATACGAGGAGGACGAGTCCTCCACAGCTCCGCGGCAGTAAAGTGATGCCTGGTGCTGCTGTGACTGAAATGACCAACATCAAAGCTGCCAATGCTGATCCAACATTAATTGGGCGTCGTAGTAGCACCAGAAAGCAGTCTCAGCCAGACTCAACACCACCGAGGCCAGCACAAAATACTAAAAAAATTGACCCGGAAGAGGATACGGAAGGTGTTTACAGTATTCTTGTGCAAACTCGTCGATGTGAAGAATTGTGCTCAGGGCTCGGACTCACAATGAAAGATATCCGTAAGATGAAGCGCAAGTACGATTCCAACGACATGTTTCATTCGTACGTTCGTTTAGTTATCTAAAAATTGTATTTTATGGCTCATAGTGCATCTTTCTTCTATTATATTTTAGTGGTGAGATCAATCAGGCGGAATTCTTCTTCATGATAAAAGAAGAGCGAAGACCATTAACACTGGGTATCTTAAAGTTTGCTGACGTCCCCGAGACTCAAAAATTCCTTACTTTCGACCAGTATTTACTCTGCATCGTGAACTTCGCTGTACTTACCAAGCCTGAACTATATCAGTTCGTCTTCGATCTGTACGATGACGACCAATCTGGTGCCCTCGACGAGCGTGAATTCACTAAAATGAGTCTAGAGCTGCAGAGTCAGCAATTTCACTTCCAAGCAAACGTTTCTGTGGCTATAAAGCTGCTCGAGGGCAAAGAGGGTCGTGCTGTTTTCGCTCCTGACGACGGAATGGTTGATCTGGGCGAATTCATGAAATTTGCAAAAAATTTCCCAGTAGCATTTTACCCGATCATGAATATGCAGAAGAACGTGCGTGCCTCCACACTCGGCGAATCTCGCTGGTCGCACATCACAGCTAGTAAGCTCAAAGTCCAAGAGCTTGTTAGCTTCATGCGTCGTCATCAGGGTGCACTTCCGCAACTCACATTTCGTGAAAGTATCGTAAATATTTTCTCCAGTGAAGTATTTTACATTCGCAAGCGTGCTGGCGAACTTTATGCTATTGAGCTTGCTCAACGCCATCGTCTCAGCACCGATGATGTCGACGAAGGTTAATGTTTCATCTTGTCAACATATCGTCACCGTTCTGGCTCGTGTCATTACTGATTTCCACCATTACATGTATGTCTTCATTGCCTCAAACGAGACATTTTTCTCTTAGTAAAATAGCATAAGTGGATTCGCAAAACGAGGTTCTCTTATCTGTAATTCTTATCGCCCAAACTCGAACGCCCTCCGTTGTAGCTGGACGCGAAAACAATGAGGTCTCCATTTAAGAAAACGCCAACGACGCAGCCACTAAATAGTGATTTTCTTTGATTTACTTAACTAGCATGTAGAATCATTACGGTAGAGGGTCTTAACGTACTCTTTGTTTGTTTTTCTTGCTATGAATGAATATACACGTCTCCTGGGCAAGATTGTGAAGATGTGATTATTATACATGTAGTATCCAATCAAATATTATCATTTATCTTAATTTAGACAATTAGATCGCACAGGAGCAGGTTCTTCATAATATTTGTCAGAAGCTAAAGCTAAATATTCAGAAACCAATACTAAATTCGAAACCATGTCAATCTTTTTGTGATTCCGACAATGCGGTGTAGGTTGACATTGAACAGTAGTGTAGCGGTACACTTAACCAGTCATGTCCAGTAAAAAAAGCAGAAGAGACAAGCAGCAACCAGTATGAGCCTCTCCGCACTTATTCCTACAAACACGCAAAAAGCGCGTGCTACCGGAATAGGCGCGTTCGAGCGTATGCTGAAAGTCGAGGATGTATCCATGGACGTTGACCCAGCATGCATTTTCAGTGACAGCTCCGGAAAAAGCTTACGGCGGTGATGGATCGTTTTGGCTACTATCTCGCCACATTCGAAGGTAAGAAAGGTAAGTTGGTGCCCAACACCGCCATTTCTTACTTTAGAAACGTGAAACTGAAGTTTTTTATGAGTAACCTCATCTTAGAGTTCCAACCGAGTTAATATTGCTTAAACAAGGGAAGGCACTCGAAAACCACTGCCTATAACGTGATAATGGAGGGTTTGCTAACAAGGCGCCACCTTAAACAAAGGTGGATTTGCGCCCGCTAATTTGCTATGTGTACAAAATAGCATCCGTCGCCTCGGATTACGAAGATGCAGCACTTGCGTGCCTCATGTGACATTGCTTCGGCCGTTCATCGGATCTCGGCTACGTCACAAAGCAGCACATCACAAGGTCAGCTGACAACGTTTTCTACATTCGGATGCTACGAATGAAGACAGCTGAGGAGAAAGGCCTCACGGTTGTATTCGACCGGGCAGATTTTGTGACCTGCCCGCTGCACACGCTCGCAGTAGCCTTGGTGATGTAGGAGTCGCCTTGTGTGGCCCTGCTAAACCAGCTTCCTTCTCTTGTGACACAGTCCGCGCCCTCACTTGATGCAGGAGAACCCCTTCTCGATGTACTACAAGTACCTTCGGTCAATGCTGCCATCTCTTCGCAGCTTCATGTAGCAGGGATGACAGACCGGGCTGCCGCCACCTAACCAAGCGCTCCGAGCTCCGCTGCAGCCAACCCTTCAGCGACCAACCAAGCTCGCGGTGACGACGGGGTTCAAGCGTACGTGAACCGGTTCATGACGCGGGTGTCAGAACCTGCTGGAGCCTCAGCCAACTTGACTTCGCGCTCCTTCAGGCGGGGCGAACGGGGACGAGCGGATGGCTGCACAGTGGATCTTTGATCGTGGGTCATGGGACATGATGCGCACCAACAAAGGCTTCACCTACTTATTTAGCACGCCACGCGAGGACCGTAAAGTAGCACGGGTCTTGAGCGGGTGGGCTGCTGACGAGGCACCGACGATTAATGATGTTGCCATTGTCGGCAATGGGGCACAGGAGCGCATGACCCGATTGCAGGAGTTGTTGCTCGCTTCCTGTGTAGGGCTGAAGAAGAACAAGCTAAACCTGAGTCGCAAAGTAATTGGGGAGCCTAAACGCTGAGATATTACATCCTGGATCGCAATCGTGGAGAGAGCTTAGTCAAGAGACTATAGTTAGCAGATTCACTAAAGCCGACCTTTTAGGTGGTACCCGCAGCGCTGGAGTTGCCGAAGAGCAAGATGAAGCTCAAGACATTGATGCAGTACTCCACGTACTATCTGATCTTGGCGTTGCGGACGAGTCAGTCGACTGAGACGACGAGTTTATTTGCAGTGATAGTTCTGACGAAGACTAATTCAGTCAATTTGTTTTGACCTGTATTAATTTAGAAGGTAGCCAAGTGAGCTTGGACACGTAGATCGAGTAAGTAGAGCACAGCGATTTTGTACGGATGGAAACGGGTTCGAGATCCGTCGTGTTCATTTATATTATTGGCTAAGTTCCAAAACTTTGATCTTTTATAATTTTGCAATATTACTCATTAAAAAGTGTTTTTGGTCGACTTTTACTGTGTAATGTAAGTCTGGAATTTTCTTGATTGAATTGAATTTCTGTCTTGAGCCCTGACTCCCTTGCCAGGTACGTTGTCTACGAACGGAGCTGCATGGCACCTTCACCTTACAGTTGTCTGAACCCTTTTGTGCAATACAAACATTGAAGCTCGCTTAGGATAGGAGCAATACGGTAGCGCCCATGTGTAGCAAGGGCACCCCTGTAGCACCCAACGACTCGCTGTATGCTTTTAACTGTTCATTTTTTTACAAATAGTTGCTAGCCCAGGATATCGACCTCATTCGACGATGAGCAAGCAAATCATCGATGCGCTGGTGCAGCTTGTTGATCGAGTAGACTATGGCCCTCTCTAGTAAGTCCTGCAGAAAATCAAGTCCCGCGTACCATACAGAAAGGACCAATACGTGCTGGGCGCGTTCACATGGGTGTTTGTGATTAGGTCGAAGGCACCAGCATTGGTGTTCGTTGGCTCGTGTGACCCAGTGGCAGGTATACGTGGGTACACACGTATTCCTAACGACCCCAGCACATTTTTGACATCCTGGGAGCAACTGACATTCGGGAGTTCGTGAGGGAAGGTGCAAGGGAGGAGCAAGCAGAAGGCCGATTCTACCCATCGGACCTGTACAGCGTACATCTGCCGAGCTACTACTCCAAGCTCGTATTTCCGCACAACGAAGCCTATATGTATAGGTATGAATACTGGCTTCAACGTTAGTCCCCCATACGTGTCGACCACGGGCGTGTGATTTAAGTACTCGTGCGCAAAGACGGTCCTCAAGATTTGGGTGGTATTTCCTCCGTCTTCTAAGGCGACCAGATCCTTCAACTACGGGAACAGGGAGGACTCTTTCAATACGATGCTGAGTATGCCTGGACGTTCAGTGCTTATCCGAGGACCCGGTGATGCCGTGTGTTTGAATAATTGAGTACATTATAGGTATCTGTCGGTGCCCCTGGATTGCTGGAGTGCTGATATTATGCATTTAGTGTTTTGTTAGCAAAGACTAATGTAATCGGTACTCCCTCTATGGGCCTCGTCATTTGGGAAGACAACCATTGTAAATCGCATTCGGGATGCGCTTGTTTCAGACCCATCAGTTCTAGATTTTTGGCTTAAGCTTAGCAGAGCAATTGGCAAAAAAACGAGATCATCAACCGAGTTTGAAAAGCTGATTTCGCGTAGTAAGAAGCGCGTATGACTCGCGATCGATGAAATGGACATCGTGTTCAAGAGCGAGCAACAGACCAGCATCTTATTGCACTGGCTGCGTGAACGGCAACCCAATGAGAACTTCGGGGGATTTCTTGGAATTGGTAGTTATGGTCTGCTGAATGAATATCCACATGAAGCTGAAAGGAGACGGTTTCACAAGCCCATTTAATCTGAGTGAGGGGTTTGAGAATCAACGTTTTACCAACGATCAAATGCTTTTTTAGTCAGATTGGGATTATACATTTTCCGCTTCGACACACTAGAGAGCTTTAGTTTCTGGAATAACACAAGGCTTGGGATAACGACTATCTGGATAAAACTTGAATAAATGACGGATAAATTTTTGATCCATATTCCAATATTTTATTCCAGTGGAATACCGCGACCCTTCGCTATTCCACTGAAATACATTTCTGGACAAAGAAAGTTCTTATTCCAAGCCTGAGTTATTCAGCCTACTCTCTATTAAGCTGTCAAGGAATATTCTGCTGGTGCCCCAGGCGTCTTTGGATCATTAATCCGATGCTCGATCGATTGTGACAGTTGCGACCTTGAAAGGCATGAATGAGAGCATTAAGTGCTCTCACTTTGCACTTGTAGAATCATTCTTCACTGAGCGGCGTGACATTATTAATTAAAATAACCATTTTTGTAGAATGAATAATGACTCTCCCATTTTCCACCTCGCGAGCTACGTAATAGAAAGGGTGTTTCAGAATGGGTTTGATAGGTGACTTGCTTGATTTAACCTTCAAATAGATACACATAATTGGCTCAATAGCTGTTGTGGATTGGCCTTGTAGAATTTCACGTCTTTGCAACGAAGGAGGTCAAAACGTTTCTGGATTGTGATTGGCTCTTTGCTATTCTTTAAGGATGGTCTGCAAAATCTACGTGAGAGCCCTTATTGGTTCAAGATCATCATCTTCTCTGTCTATGTTGCCACGTACAACTGAACCTTCAAACAAATTCAGGAGGATTTACAAATGATGAGCCCGCTGGATTGGGAGCTGCTCTACGTGTTGCTTAAGGATGATGCCGGTGGATCTAAGAGTGCTAACTTAAAAACCAGCCGTGAAAATTGACTGCGTGTGGGGGCTTTCACTACTGGAACTCGTAATAATTACGCAGCTGGCGTTATCGTCCCCAATGATGCAGCGACAGTGCATGGAAGCTTTACCCAAACGTACAATCCCCGGAGTTGCCGTCAGCAGACATGTGAGCAATAAGCTTGCTCCTAGCCAGGCATATCGATAATAACATTAAAATGATATTGGGCCAACTCGCAGAAATAAGATATTGTGTCTAGATAAAAAAATACGAATAAATTGCAGGCGGCAAAGAAGTGCATTGATGATTATTAACTGCACTACAGCAGCAAATACCCAACGATTTTA